GAATGCCTTATCTTCTTCCCATCCACATTTTAGGGAAGATGGAGACCACAGAAATGAGAGCAGAAGAGAAATGATGTTCTCAATCTCAGCCTCCCATTCAAGGACTAAATGACTGATGCTAGCTGTCCTCTATGTGGTAGGCACGCTCTGCCATGTACCCTACAAACCTCAAAAGCCTGTACCTGCTACTACTCCTAGTAATAAATACATTAGTGAAATACAGAAAAAGAAAAAAAAAAGTTCTAGAACACTTATTGATGTTTAGAGTGCCCATGAAAGTATCCCGCTGAGGTGAAAAACCACCAAACCTGACCTATACATGCCCTTGGATGCTTGGTAGTAGCCAATTGTCTTCCATATGGTTGGAAAAGTTACTTAGATCTAAAGGCTTTACATTTAGCTTTGGTGTGGAAAAGGCTTAAGAATGCTAACATTTAAGTTGAAATAAACACCTAAGTTGCTTATTCTACCTATAGAATTATATTTAAAGAAGCTTGAAGACATAAGCTTACTGCCTTTGAAACATTACCTAATACTGCAGACTTGATACAGAAACTCTTCAGAACTGGTTAACCAAACTCATCGTGTCCTTCAGCCATCTGCATTCTCCCCTCGCATCTCCGAAGACTACCCTTCTAAGCAGAAGAGCACATTTTGCCATTCCTTGTGGTACTCGCTACTACCAGATCCTGGGCTGCATCCAAAGTAGCATGACCAGCAGGTCGAGGGAGGGGATTCTGCCCCTCTACTCCGCTCTGGTGAGACCCCCCTGCAGTACTGCCTCCAGCTCTGGGGTCCTCAGCACAAGAAGGACGTGGACCTGTTGGAGCGAGTCCACAGGAGGCCATGAAGGTGATCCAAGGGCTGGAGCACCTCTCCTGCGAGGACAGGCTGAGAGAGCTGGGGTTGTTCAGCCTGGAGAAGAGAAGGCTCTGGGGAGACCTTAGAACAGCCTTCCAGTACCTAAGGGGCCGACAAGAAAGCTGGGGAGGGACTTTGTACAAGGGCAGGGAGTGGTAGGACAAGGGGCAATGGCTTTAAACTGGAAGAGGGAAGATTTAGATGAGATACAAGGAATAAATTCATTACAGTGAGGGTGGTGAGGCAGTGGCACAGGTTGCCCAGAGAAGCTGTGGATGCCCCAATCCCTGGAAGTGCTCAAGGCAAGGTTGGATGGGGCTTTGAGCAACCTGGTCTGGTGGAAGGTGTCCCTGCCCATGGCAGGGGGGTTGGAACTGGATGGGCTTTAAGGTCCCTTCCAACCAAACCATTCTATGATTCTATGATACCAATAAGAAAGTTCTCAGATGTCCTCGAGTAAATGCTTCCCAAGATTAGCATCTGGAGTTATAATAAAAAGTTTCATGAAGCATGATGGTAGCTAAGTCAGATTTAGAAGAGAGACGGTATTACTGACTGCATCAGTTCAGTAAGGCCCATATGTTCATTTTTTCCAGAAAAAAATGTAACCAGCCAACGTGAAAGATAGGTCACTGCTTTAATCCAGCATCTTTGTTAATATTTCACTAGTTTATGTTTCCTTGTTTTTCTTTCATCTAGAATTCTAACCAGTTCCAAAGACTTCTAATAATCTGTTTTCATACTCATCTTTTCTTCGGGTTCCTGGAAGCATATCTATTGTCACAGGTCAGTTGACTAATCTTTCGACCGTCACATCTTGTTTACAAGACACAGCAATTCTATCATCTCAAAAAGCTTACCCCTCTCTTGAACATGCCATTCCATACAAATGCACGGCAGAAGGTGCCTCTGCTATCACTACTCATCCTCAGCTAGCATCTGACAACTATTATGTAAAGCTTAAATCTTAAAACTACAGTCCTGAATCACGACAAAGTAGTCCTATCTACAAGAGCAAATCAAGTACAGGAATTGGTTGTTCATGCATCTTAAGTATTCCTGCTCGTACAGCTGAGTCCTGGCATGCTACATCTCTGGTGAATTTAAATCAAGTTTAGAGTTCAGATGACGTTCCATGCCAACCAAATTCACACAACTTGGCCTCTCCTCCCACTAGGCACCAGCTATCCCAGTATTTCCACATTTAGTAGACAGTAAAAACAGATGCTGTCTTTTATACTTCCCAGTCTGAAATTCCGATCTAGTTTCGTTTTCTTGAGTTTCTGTAGAATACTCCTGATCAACTTGATTTATGTTCCTTAACAGTTTTATTCTGTTTTTCAGCTTCTGTAGCTGTAGTCAAGTAAAATCAAAATAGAACCACCTTTTAACGTTTCCCAATTTTCCACTATTAACTTCCTACCACCTCTACCATTTTGCAATTCTAGGTCTACACAGCAGTACTTCCAACCTATTACTATTATTACTAGATGAGCTCTAATTTCAGGTTTGCTTGGCAGGCTTGGCTCAACATCAATCTGAACTCCACCTTTAACTGTAAAGGGACTTCCTGGCCTACAGTAATACTGAAGGAACACCTTTTTATACTCCTAACCTCAATCTAGTAAAAAACTAGACAAAGACTACTATGCTCTGTTGACAGTGCACTCGCACTCCACCCATGATTTGGTAGCCAAGCCCTTTCGTAAGTACTAGCACGGTAACTTGATTTGTCACTCAGTTTGGGATAAGCAAATCAGTTACAGTATTACTTTGCCAATCAAAAAAAAAAAAAAAAAGATAGAACCATTTCTAAAATCCAAATCTTGTTATCTCCTGTTTTTTAGGTGATATGTTTAGGTCCAGAGCACCTCTTGAAAAATACCAGCGAACACTAGACAGTCACAGCTAGAACAAGAGAAGCCCTCCTGACAATGTAACCAGCATCCCCAAAGGGTTTTCCTCAGCACTTCGAATGCACTCAGACACACAAACTTCTTTGCTTAAAGTTGCACAAAATTCAAATCTTTCTTCCCTGACCATGGAAGTTTCTGTAACTACTTCACCAGAGTCAAGGCAGGAAAACTGGGGCCATCACTTCCCCCAGAGTGAAATATACCTCACTTGGGTAAAAAGCTATGCAAAAGAAAGTAGTAGCAGAGTGCAAACAGGTCATTGCACAAATGCCCTCAAACCATTTCAGCTTATCTATTTTAAAAGTCAATCAAACAAAAAAATTTACATAAAACACTACACAAAGTCCGATGTGCAGCTATTCCCGTTCACAAAAGGAAGCCTCCTTTCCTGGTATTCCCCGTTCAGTGCCGGATACCATGGCTTTCTAAACTAGCTGGCATCAGCCCCATGACCCAATGCTCATTAATGCAGCTCCGAGTCGTGTCAGGGAATCTGAAAACAGGAAGGCCATTTGCTGACTCAGCACTAATTGGGGCCCTCTGACTAGCCTGTGCACACAGCTGACGGAGCCGCAGCACTGCATCGCTGCCTCCCCCTCACCACTTCCTGCCCCAAGCTGCCGGCAGTGCCGAAACAAGAAGTGATGTCACACACAGGAACCCTACAAGAGGCAACTGAGTTTTTTCAAGCTAAACGCTTAAGAAACAATGGAAGTAATCCAGTAATATCCGTAAAGAAGCTCAAAGGAAAGGGGCGGTGCACACATCAGGTTCAATTTTGCCATTTCTAGCTGTTTAGATGTAATACATATGCAACCAATCTCATCATTTTTATGTCTGAGTAAGTTAACCGATACATCAGCTGAAAGCAGTTCTCCTGTCAAATAGGAGCCGAAAGAGAAGTCAGTCATAAAAGACTAAGTGAAACACTTAGGTCTTTCAAGAATTACTGTTGTTTGTTCATACCCAAAGGAAACAAAAGTTTCATTTCCGAGTGTATTTTTTCCACTTCCCCTAGCGCCACGGTGAGCAGTCCCACCTTTACGGCAATCAGTTTACAAACACATTCTATTCTTAGTTCCCACTGCCGCAGCTCTGGGTGTGGTTTCTTCAGGAAGCGGAAAAGCTGTGTACACGCTGTTGAAAAGGACAATGAGCATGAAACTGAACTCGAACCAAGGAAAAGGTTAACTTCATGTGGGTGTCTGCTTCAACAGAATTCCACACAAAGATAACTGCTAAAATGCATTTGTCCCAAAAGAAAACTAAATATTGGAAATGCTATTCTTTTATCTCAAAGCTATTCATTAGTTATATGACACTGATAGAGGGTTTGCACTCCGTGCTTCTGCAATACATTCAATCAGAGGATGACCTTCTTGGACAGGCTTCAGAGACAAGTTTTCTACTATATGCAGAACAGTGAAATAATTCCAGTTCTACCACTGAGAAACTAGCAGCAGAGGAATAAGATAAAGCCATCAAGGAAATGCACAGAAGAGCGATGAAATACAAAATCCCAGTTTCAAACCTAGCCACAATATCACCACCGCTATCAGTTCTAAAACAGCCGAGAGAAGTCCCGCTGTACAGACTGCAAACCTATCATCAGCTTATCAACTGCAACATTAAAATACCTAAACCGTAACTCTAAACTACAAGATCCATACACAGAGCTACATATCACAAAGCCCAGTTATACTCACGTTGATGTAATAGTCCGGAAGCGCTCTTGTCCAGCTGTGTCCCAGATCTGTAGCTTCACCTTCTCGCCATTGATCTCAACTGTCCGAATTTTAAAATCCACTCCAATTGTGGTAATGTAGCTGCCTGAAGGGAAAGCGTGGATAAGTGAGAACCTAAGTCTTGTTTATTTTGGACGTCCCAAAGCACATTTCTGAACACTATTTGGCAGTAGCTCTCAGATTGGACGGGAGAACAAGGTTCCCTCTATCTGCTTATTGTTTAAAATGCCCCATCAGGTCATGCTGATCTGCATATTTTTATCTGCAGCTAATAGCTTTTTTCTAGCCATAAAGCCACTTCTCTAATGCCACCCTTAAAATTTAGAACTCAGTGTCAGAAAATAAAATTATTCTTCTACCGAATTGGTAGTCAAGAGGAAGCACCCAAATACCTCAAGAAACGGACAGTAACTATGCAAGTATTTCACTTGTGAAAATTTTGAGACAAAGCTTTGCTTTAAATGCTTGTGCAATTACTTATTTCAAATACAGTCTAAGTTTCCTCCCAATGGATTAGTTATGTCACAAATGTAAGTGGTTTAGCCACAATATTCAATCAATCTAAATCCCAAACGGCCAATAGAAAATCTGCACAGAGCACAGCATAAGCTAAAAAACCTAAGCTATTTCTGGAACCATGTCAGTATTTAAATACTGAGACTTTCAGTTGCAAGTGAAGATCAGACAGGATGGCTTGTATAGGCTTACACCAAGAGAAGTAAAGTTAGAAACATAATGTATTCCTAGTACAGCTATCAGTGGATAAATGCAGAACAACAACTCCTTGCCAACCAGCAGCACTGGAGCAGACCTTACTGAAGTAAACAAAACACTCACCTGAGAATGTATTATCTGCAAAACGCAACAGCAAACTGCTCTTGCCCACACCTATGACAAACAAAGACAGCAAGATCTTTGAATACAGTCATTGTGGGTCTCAGGTAACACAACAGTATTCTACCCATTCATTGCATTTTTATCTCTAACTAGGATATTTTCTCAGCAGATAATTTAGTACCATCCACCTTGACTATTCACCTCAGTGCTCTCCTTGAAGATTTGATCAAGCACACTGCAGTCACTCCAAGAGTCGGTATGCTTCTTACAGCAGTACAGGGGAGATTTTTGTCCTCTCCTTCCTCCAGCCCTCAGCAAACTCTCAAACAGTAGCTTTTGAACTGTGATCAGTTCTAAGAGGTCATAAAAGAGTAATAACTAACAGCAAGTTTACTATCAGTAGGCTTACATTTGCTAAGGAGAGATCCAAAAATGATTATGTCCTGCTAATTAACAAGTACTCACGACACTGCTTGAATTTCACTTGCACATCGTGCTTAACACCACTGCCTACCTCCCATTAATTATGCCATGCTCAACGGCCATGGAGTTTGGACTACTTTGACAATCAGACCAGGGTTTGGTACTATAAAGCTTATGTTATCATGGCCACAGTTTAACAGAAGCCTAAACCAAACAGAGGAGTTGGGAACCATTGTTCTGTATTGCCATCCAAAATAGGCTTGTTCCATATCTAACAGGAAGGACACATACCTTTCTGAAGTTGTACCTTTTGCCAAAAGGTTCCATGAAACATTTCTCTAAGTGCTTTGAGTATCACTTCATCCAGGTTTTCCTTAAATGGTTGTTTGCACCCTGATCACACCCTGTTGCAGGGAAGCATTTTCACAGTGCTTCAGACAAGAACTGTAAGAAACTTATTCCTGCACACCCAACTAAGGGAATGTGGGTATCAGAATGCCTCAAAGTTGTTATCTCTGCTGTTAATGTCCATTCCTCTTCCTTCCCCTCAAAAAAAAAAGTCTGCCATGGCATGAAGAGGAAATTCAGCTTCACCAGGGTGATTATCTATTAAATCTTTTCAGGCAGAAGTTATTGAAGCTGATTATTTTGATGAAGTATAACCTGTAAGTTGTTCTTAATAGAAGACCTATGCAAAGACTATACAGAACTCCAATAGCATCTCATCTGAAGATAGCTACCTCAAAAAAACAAAACAAAACAAAACAAAAAAAAAAAAAAAACCAACCCCCAAAAACCAAAAAACCTAAAAATCTGCATGATTCCAGTAAGCCAGGTCTCATTTGCAAAGAGATCAAATCACCAGACATCTGGAAAAGCCATGCTCATTTGTCAATGAGTATTACAAATTTTAAAAAAATTTAAAAAGAACGCTACTAAAAAATACAAAGTTACAGCATGCATACACTGAATAGCTCTGAGCTCAAGAAAGGTAGCACAACAGTTCCTGAACTTTAACACAGGACGGGTTATTTAGCAAGAGCTAAACCTCTGCAGAATACAAGTCAGCTACGGAAAAAGAATTTAAAAAAAAAAAAAAAAAGGTTTCAGCAACTACTATGCTTCTTGATCAAGCAGCCTTGGCCTCCAGCTTAGTAAAAAGAAAGTAGATGCTGGATCCACAGACTTGTCAGACCACACTACCTTCTTAAAACGTCAGCCAGCCTCAGGCTGTGCTGCAGAGCTGCATGGGCTGCACATGACCACTGCTTTGTCAGACTGTCTGCTGCTGCACAGAGAGCGTCTTGTCTATGCTGCTCCCAGGGCTTGGGCAGCTGCTGGAAAAAAAGAAACCTCCTGAACTCAGGAAGTTCTACATGCTCCCGATGACAACGATCTCACTAAAAAAAACACTGCCTCTGACTTGCACTGTTCACCTATAGAGAAACCACACTCTTCATGACCCTCCACTTCCTACACAGAGCTATTTGAAGATCTGAAAAGAGAAGGCTAGCAGGGCCTCTGTGCTTGTTGAAGACAGCAAAACAAAACAAAAAAAGGCCTATTGACTTTGCACAGTCAAAATTAGAAGCAAATTTCTGTGCCATACCAGCTTCTAAAACCCATATCTTACCAAATGGTTGAGTGAATTAAAGCAGCACATGCAAAGCGCAGATCACCTGTATTATTTTTAAATATTTGGCACAACTGAGATCACTAGCAGCTTTTCAAGATGACCTGTTCTAAAAACACACAAACCTACTATCCTCTTGACATATTTGCATACAGGGGAAAGCAGATGAGACAGAATCATCCTATCCTGTATCAGTACACTTCCTATTGCAGGGAATAAACATCAATAAACACGGCAAGCAAACTGTTTTGTGGAAGCAGGGACAAAGCCTTCCTGTTGGGGTTAGCAAAAACAAAAAAGGAAAAAAAAAAAAAAAAATCAATGCTCAAACTACACAGAGAGATTTAATTACAACAAGAGAGAACCACAGGCAACCTGACAATTCTCACAATGCTTGCTTCCTCTTACTGGATACACTATAGGGACTCTCCTCAAAAAGACTCAGCTAAGAAATTTCATTTAATTGTTTAAAATGACAAGTCTTCCTCAGAGTTTTCACCATCCTGTTTATCTTGTCTGCACAGTTTTGAAACTCACCAGCAAGCAACAGAGTTACTGCTCTACTCAGAACGCAGCATTTGGTTTTAATAATCCATAGGGTCCCAAAAGTGCATAGGGTTTTAAGCTCCTTTGAAGCTGCTACCCCTTCTCCCTCTTTAGAGTCCTTCGTGCAGACACAGTTTAGTATAGAAGAAAATTTTTTTACATACAGCTAAAGCTTCTGGAGGTGACAACTGCCAAGATCGTGCAACGTTACACTTTCACCCAAGAGCAATGCCTCGCTGCATGTCGGGACCTGTTGCCTTATGGACCACACCTCTATTAAAAGAAGAAGGTGGATGCCATCTTCTCCAGTTTATGGAAATTAAACTGTAAGCTGTTGGAGAGTTACCAACACTGGACTGAAGGCAGGAATCTTTCCAGTCCCAATTCTCATGTATGTAGACTAAAGCACCAGACACAGGCTGAGTTCACACGCTAGCCCTCCAGAAGTTTCTGAAACTGCTGCAGAAGTATTTACAGGCCTGTTTTCAAAAATCTATAATTACCCCTTATCCATAACTATTTTAGGTATTTGCATCCTCTACTGTAACTAGAAGTACACAAAGCTACCAGCTCTTCAAGGATTTATTAAAAAAAAAAAAAGTGACAAACTCTAGAACTGAGACTTCAGGTTGAAGCACAGAAAGAGCCTTAAGGAATAATTAAGATAATAAAGGGTATTAAAACGTAGTAGTTGCCACAGTGGAAACAATGGCCCCTAGGACTGAGGAGCAGCCAGCCTTTCCCATTGATGCCTTAAACTGCTTGTCACAGGGGAAGGGAATTCCCTCCTCATCCTAGCAAGAGATTAGCAGGCGCCCTCAAAGCATGCGGCTCGCAAAGGCTGATGCTAGCACCAATGCCGATGCTATCCTTACTTATACGTGCCTAATCTTCCTTTTCCTAAACCTACCCAAGCTATTTACCATAATATCCTGTGGTAGCCAGTTCCGCAGGTTCATCAGATAAAACCTTACGAAGCCCAAGCAAACGCGCCTTCTCGGACAGAGGGC